ATCATATACATTGTATATTGACAAAATAAAAACTTAATGAAAGAAAAATAAATAAATAAAATAAAACCAACACAGAGGGTGAGCCCCGATCACGAGATGAAGCACAAACACAGGAAACTCTAATTATCACTAATGATGGTAAAGATGGAAATTGTTCTGGGCCCGTGCTCAGCAGCCAGTGTTATAAACACCCTCCTTCAAAGTGCCCAGCACCCACGAGCACACTTCCTGTCTGTCACCACCGTTCTGTGGCCAGCACAAGGGCACAGGGCCCTGAGCAGATGAACACAGGTGGAAGGAGTGGGATCCTGCTGTCCTGGTGTCTCTGGGCTGCACAGGGAGCTGTACTTACCCATCACAGTCATGTGCACACACGCATTTCTATGCTACCTCTCCTGGTCCTCCTTTGACCTAATATGTTTGCTTCTGGGGCCATTATCTCAGGCTTCGGGGTTTTAAAATTTTTATACATCTTTTCAAAAAAATAAATAAATAAGCTAAAGAAGAAATAGCAAACTGAAACAAGATTTCTGTTGGGGAAAAAATGGGATAAGTGGTATATCGGTGCCATTTTACTGATAAGAATTCTAGAACGGTTTAGTACTTTAAGCTGAGTGTAAATTCGATTTAAAGGTAAACATTAAACAGTTCAACTGCTAAGAATAAATTTTTAAAAATTCACTTCTAGAAAATACCTGTCCAGTATTCTTTGAAAGTATCAAGGTCATAGAAAACAAGAAAAGACGGAGACACTCTCACAGATTAGAAGAGATGAGGGAGGATTAGTTTGTGCCGAAAAAATGAGTGTCATGAGAAAAACCTTTGCAGTCCAAATAGAGTTGGGAGTTTACTTAACAGCATTGAACTAATGCTAATTTCTTAGTTTTGATAAACATACTATAGCTGCGTAATTTAATAACAATAGGGAAAGGAGGTAGAGAAGGAATTTTCAATCTCTGCTGTATTGACATTTGGGAGCAGGTCATTTTTTGTTGTGGGAGTTTGTTTTGTGCACTGTAGGATGTTTCGCAGCATCCCTCACCTCTATCCAGTAGATGTCATTAGCACACCCAGCCTCCCCACCCCAACCTCAACTAGAGACTTGCCCTACAGCCCTGGATGGGTGGATGGGGAGGCATACAGCAAAGTCACCTCTAATTTAGAACCACTGATCTACAATAATCTCTAATATCAGCTTATCAAAAGAAATTCCTTATCACTTGGTGTGTGAAAAGCAGAAGAAACAGTCATGTTCAATGTCTATGAAAATCACTAACCTTTACCAGTGAAGGTATATTTAGAGGTGATAACTTATGGCTGCCTATAGCACACCAGCAGGAAGACTGGGGTTTTGAAGGGTCTTTAACCGTAAACCATAATGACACACATTAGGTTTTACTGAAAAAAAGATGTGGAAACCTCTGTAGACACTGAGAAGAGATCATACATTAAAAAAATCTATACCCTACTGTGTTCACTGTCCACTCTGAGGACAAGGCCATCTTAACAGACTTCTTAGCTATAAAGGTCATTGCTGTCATTATCAAGAAATGTCTTATTAAGAAGAAAATCATAGCATAGGAAATTTTTTTTTCCCAAAATCATATACTGGGGAATTATAACTTAAGAAATCTGGGGAATTAAGATGGATTAGTCAGTTAGTGAAAGTATTCTGAATCTCGTCCCCTGAAACCCTCAGCTGACAGGTCCCCCCCCATTCCTAACAGCTGGCCCCTCTCTGGATGGCAGAAGCAGTCTGAAGTGTCCTCACTGAGCTCTTTTTAGTGTCCTCACTATTCCCTCGTTTGCCTCACAAATCCCGAAAGAACCTGTTGTCTGCTCTTGGGTTTGGCACTTACTTTGCCAGCCTCTTCTTTCTGTCCCTCACCATAGGGCCAGCCCAGGAGGTACCTTCTGTGCATGCTTTTGAGAAAAAGGATCTTGAGAACAGTCTGTTCCCCATCACCTTGATGAGACCTGCAAACTTGATCACTATGACCAATTACCCAGTAGCTTCAAACACTTTGTCTTTGTAATCAGATCTTTTTGACTTATAAAAGTGAATCATTTCATTCTCCATACACAGATTAACAATAAAAAATAAAAAAAAAAGAGAAACGGCATTAATGTTCAAAGAGAAGAAAATCTCCATATGAAAGCTTAAAATTATAGGACAGTGTACATAAAATTAATATTTTCAGTGCTAAAATATAAATTGCCACCACCATTTTCTTAAGAGGTAAATTGCAAAAAGTGACACTAACAACCATTCTAGAAGAATGAAACATGTACGGCATTTACTGAAACAAAAGCCAGTTATTTGTTTTTCCTTAAGAGCATTCAGATGAATTGTGTTTATTTTTTATCATAATGAAAGAGAGCGCCTTTCTGTCAATAGCGTATATGCAATGTTTATGAACTGACGAAACTATTACACTTTCCCTCTCTAAATGTCAAGTACAGAAACAGAGCAACCTTGCTGGTCAGCATGGAACATGGTACAGGTGCTGAGGATAACAGTTTGGTGGACCCAAATGTCCATCAACTGATGAAAAGATAAATGTGGTATATGCCTACAGTGGGACACTTTGGGGACATGCAAAGGAATGAAGTACATGCCACGCAAGAATGAATCTTGAAATCATGTTGCTAAGTGAAAGAGGCTGATCACAAAAGAGCATACTTTATATAATTGCATTTATATCAAAGTCCACAATAGGGAAATCTACAGAGACAGAAAGCAGATTAGTGGTTGCTTGGCTGCTGAGCATGGGGATTGTAGGGAGGGGGTGACAGCTATAGGAACAGAGTTACTTTTCGAAGTGGTGAAAATATTCAAATTCACTGTGGTGATGGGTGTGATATCTGTGAGTATGCTAAAATCTCTTGAATCGGACACTACATGGGTGAATTGTACGGCACGTGCACATCACAGTAAAGATGTTAAAAGAGAGACAGGGGAGCTCCTAACCCCTCTCTCCAGAGCCAAACTCTTGCCACCAGCAGCCAGAAGAACAGACACTTGACCTCCGTGTGCTCCAGATGACGGGCGTCCCTGGGGTTGGGGGCGACCTCTCCGAGTCCGGGCGCTGCCTGTCGCGTGGCGCCTGTGGGGTAGGTCCCCGTGTCCCCGCCCCGCGCACCGGTGCCAACGGTCACCCGCTCCCTGGGCACTTTGCCACTGGTTGAGTCCGCCTACCACGGGCACTTTTGGAAGCCGAATTCCCACTGAAAGTCCCCGACCCCGCCATCCCGCACCCATGGGCAGCGCCCTGAGCACGCGTCCGGCATGTCCACGTGGGGCGGCTGACCCCTCCTCAAGAGGTCGCCAGACTGGGACCCCGCCAAGCCCAGGAGGGTGATCACCGAGGCGTGGAGGTGCTTGTCCACCAGGCCACCCCCGGACACCATCCTGGGCCCGGATCTTTCTGGCGCTGGGGAGAGCTACGTGAAGCGGTGGCTTTGGAGTGGCGGCCACCCACGAGGGACCTGGAGCCCGGCGTCCATGGAGCTCACTCCTCCCGAGCACACGGGGAGCCCGCGGCCTCGCTGGGGCTGGGCCCCCTCACTGCAGGCGCCACCGCCGAGGGGCTCCCGGACCCCTGTGCCAAGGAGACCGTGCTGAGGGCGCCCCGCCAGAGCGAGAAAGGGAGCAGGGGGCTCGACGGCCGCTCTGGTTTGAGATCCCACCACCACCACCACCGAGAGCCACAGCAGGAGGCCCAACCCCATGCCGGATCCCGGGCCATCGGCCTTTAAGCCCCTGCTAAAAAATGGAGTGGTCGCTTCCTTCGTGCCCAGGCCCGGGCCTCTGAGCCGAAGCCTCTGCTCCTGGAGCCTCAGCGTCTGCGAGGAGGAGGCTGATTCCCGGCCTTGGCCTTGCGTCCGGCCCTCACTGTCCGCGCCCCCGCCTGCCGCAGTGCCACCGCAGTGCCACCGCAGTGCCACCGCAGGCCTCAGGTCCTCAGCTGCGAAGCTGGCAGACGCGGCGCTTCTGCGGCCTGGGCCCACCTCCCATGCACAAGAGTGGTGCTGGAGGGGCCCGGTCACCCCTGAGGACACCCGCCTGCTGGCCGCTTTGGTTTCTAAGAGTCAGAGTCCTGCCACCAGCTCCTGGGACTGAGCCCACGTATCCACATTTGTCCTGCCCATGCCTTGCTCCACACCAGCTTGGTATCACCCGGTTACCAAGCACTACTCCACCCCCTGGCCTGCTAAGCCCTCAGACCCGCCAGCCCCTACTCTGCAAGCCCCACGAAGAATCGAAGAATCGTTCCTTTCAAAACCCCTGCCTTCCCCCGCCTGCCCTATGCTTCCTGCCCTTCCCTGAAAGCAGACACTCCAGGACGGCAGGCTTTCCCCACCTCTCCTAGTTGCCCAGTTTGTATAGTTAAGTATTTAATTTTATTAAAGGGAATGTTAACAATTAAAAAAGAGCTCTTCATGCAACAATAAAGGGAAAGTGTGTTTCAGACAGAAGCAGGAGTTAGAACAAAGACTCTGCAATGGTAATTTTTAAAATTTATGTGAGGTCCAAATTTAAGTCCAATATAGTTAGAGAGCAGTGAGAGAAAATATGAGGTTAGGGAAACAGGCTGTGATGAAGTAATACAAGGCAGCCAGGCCATAGTAAAGAGAATGGGTTTTATTCTAAGAACCAAGGGTTTCAGGCAGAGGAAAGACTATGATCTGGTTGATATTTTCGAAAAGATGATTCTGGACACTGTGTGTAGAGTAGATGTCCTGGCCACAGCAGGAGTGCAGTGCAGCATTTCAAGGACGAGGTGAGGATGGTTTGATCTGAGAGGGAAATGGTGATTATGGAAAGATGCAGATGAATTTCGGGTATAGTTTGAAGGTAGACATTGTGGGACTTGCTAGTGCATTAGATAATAGCATTGGAAAAAAAGTGGAAGAATCCAAGATTTTTAGCTTATTGGTTCAAGGAAAGGATTATGATAATGCCATTTACTGAGATAGGAACTACCAAGAGGAGAAAATGTCTGAAGAAGTCAAGAGTTTTGTTCTGGTCACATTTTCTAGAACACTTGTTTTGCTGGTGGAGCTGTCAAGTTAAAAAAATGAGCCTAAGACTAACTGGAGTATTTGAAACAGAAGAAATAAATTTGGGAGTCATGAACATATAAGTTCACTGATAACACAAAAATGGTCCTTTAAACCACAGGCTACATCAGATCGTCCAAGCAGAAAATATAGATAAAAAATATAGGTAGAGAAGAGGGCCAGGGATGAAACCTATGCTGCTCCAATGTTCAGAGCATGAAAGAAAGGAGGTGCAGATAAGAAGATGCCTGAGNTAATAGCAGGGGTTGGGCAGAGTCGGTGGGCACAGAGAGGGCCAGGGTGGTGAACTGGTGGTAGGACCTGGAGGAGATCTTCTCTCTTTCTTTTCCCCTGTCAATGAAGTACAAAGCAAGATAGTGGGCAGAGGGAGAGTGGGAGGGAAGGACTCAACGTCTGAGGATGGGACACAGAATTCCCAGGGTGGGAAAAGGAACAAAGTGGGAAAACGTAGTAGGATTATGAGAAAATATCAAGGGTCCATTTCAGATGTGAATTCTGAAATGAAAGGGGAAACCGTAATGACATTGATTTTCTCTAAATTTTATTTTACTTTAACTAGTACAAATGAGAATTGAATACACAATTTGTTTTAACCATTGCAATATTTTAACCAATATGATGTTAACTATTATTTATTATATTATATTATATTATATTTCAAAATATTTTAAGAAACAGGGAAGAAACAATGGATTTAAGATGTGTATTAGGGTTCTCCAGAGAGCCAATAGGAGAATATAGGAATAAAAATGTATGTGTGTGTGCGTGCGTGTGTGTGCATGCGTGCATGTGTGTGTGTGTGTGTGTGTATGCACACGTGTGTGATAAGGAATTGGCTCATATGCCTATGGCACCTGAGGAGTCTCAAGATCTGCAATAAGCTAACTGCAGACCCAGGAGAGCTGATGGTGTAAGTTTCAGTCCACATCAGATTTTGAAGTCAAAATATGACTGGTATTCCAGCTCAAAGACAGTCAGTCAGAAAGATGGAGAGAGAATTCATTTTTACTCTGGCTTCTTGTTCTATTCCGGCCCTCAAAGGATTGGGTGAGGCTCCCTCACATTACGGAGGACAGTCTGCTTTACTCAGTCTACTGATCCAAATGTTAGTCTCATCAAGAAACACCCTCACAGACACACCTGGGCACCCTATAGCCCAGTCAAGCTGACACATAAAATTGACTAGCATGGGGTGTTTTTAAAGCAATGATTTTAACTTGGAGCAGGGGATAAAATCTGGTTAAGAAAGAAATTGATGAGAGATAGATAAGAAAAACTAAGGGAGAAACAAACTATTAGAGGACTTGAAGTTAATTTTTTATTTCATGTAATAGTTAATAAAACAAGTTAAGCTGTAAGGGTAGAGTGGAAAGTGAAATACTGGAATTTGAGATTTGAAGAGTTTCATGATGAGAGTCTGGTATGATAATGAGGTAAATGGAGTATGAATTGATCAGTGCCATAGAGGAGGTCAAAAAACTTGGTGGCAATGATTTTTTTTGGATATGACTTCAAAAGCACAGGCAACAAAAGTGGAAATAGTTAAATGGGACTACATCAAAATAAAAAGCTTCTGCACAGTAAAGGAAACAACAGAGTGAAGAGATAACCTACAGATTGGGAGAAAATATTGACAAACCATATATGTGATAAAGGCTTAATATCCAAAATGTATAAGAAACTCAAACAACTCAATAGCAAGAAACCAAACAACCCTATTTAAAAAAAATTTAGGCAAATGACCTGAATAAGCATTTCTCAAAAGAAGAGATACAAATGGCCAATTGGTATATGAAAAAATGCTCAACATCACTAATTATCAGGGAAATGCAAATTAGAAACACAATGCAGTATCACCTCACACCTGTTTGAATGGCCATTAGCAAAAAATGAAAGATGAGTGTTGGTGAGGATGTGGAGAAAGGGAGCCCTTGCATGCTGTTGGTGTAAACATAAATTGATACAGCCATTATACAAAACAGTAGAGTGGTTTCTGAGAAAATTAAAAATAGAACTACCATACGATCCGGCAATCCCATTACTAGGAATATATATACAAAGGAAATGAGATCAATATGTTGAAAAGACAACTGCACTCCCGTGTTCACTGCAGCATTATTCACAATAGCCAAGGTATGGAAACAACCTAAGTGTCCATCAGCTGATGACTGGAGAAAGAAAATGTGTTATATACACACAATGGAATGCTATACAGCCATAAGAAAGAAGGAAATTCTGTCATTTGCAACAAAATGGTCGAATCTGGAGGACATTACGTTAAATGAAATAAAGCTAGATGCAGAAAGAGAAATACCACGTGATCTCACTTATATGTGAAATCTAAAAAAGTCAAACTTTCAGGAATTGGGGAGGGTGGGTAATAGGGGAGGTGGTTGGCAAAGGGCACAAAATGTGAGTTAGGAGGAATAAATTGAAGGGATCTATTGTACAACATGGCAACTATAGTTAACAACAATGTATGGTGTACTTGAAATCTCTAAAACAGATTTTAAGTGTTCTATCACCAAAAAAAATGTATGTGAGGTAATGTATATGTTAATTAGATCTACAGAGCCATTGCAAAATGTATACATATTTTAAAACATCATGTTGTGCAAGATAAATGCATACAATTTTAACTAATGTTATTTGTCAATTAAAAAATAAACATAAATAACATGAAAGATTGAAAAAAAAAAAAAAAAAGAAAAACTGGTGATGGGGGGATGTTAAAGATAATATGAATAGTGACCAGTATAGGGATAAGAATGAAGATCATGAGACAAAAATCCAGATTTTCAGTGGATGAAGGGAAGGTAGCAGCAGAGTAGAAGCAAGAGAGTCAGCTCATGTAACATTGTAAGTTTCAAAGTAAAAGCAACTTTTGAAAGAGCAAAGAGAGATAACAGTCTGTAAGGAGCACACATGAGTAAGGACAGCATCTACTCTCTAGTCCAAGCCGTGAGGGTCATGGAATGCCAGAGAAGGGGTGTCTTTGCTTCCAGCTGAGGAGACATGCACAGCCAAGATTAATGAGGAGAGGAAGCTGAAGGAACATTTGCAGGAGTTAAGGTTCGTGGGGATCTTCTAAGGACTCATCATGAGTTTCAGAGGACACTATGCAGGGTTTGAGAAGACAGGATGGGAGGCTGGATCAGAACTGGGATGGTCCTGACTGGGAGGTTCCCAGCAGCCTCAGAGCAATGTGGGCCATCAGTCAAATTATAGTACAGCTCATCTGTATGGAATATAGAAATGAATTTTCCAGGTGCACAAGGACTCATTCCTGTGCACCAGCATTGCCTGAAGACGTCAGTCTGAACAGTAGCAAAGTGAGGGGCCTCCTTCCTGACAGCACTAAGGCCTGGCAATGTGGAACAGGAATAGACAAATCCCCAGGATAGAACGGAGATCCTGAAGCAGATACGTAAGAACTTAACATATGACAGTGGTAACATTTAAATGTGTGTGTGAAAATAACTACATTGAAACAATCGGATACCCAGTCAGGTTCAAGAATACAGATATGTAACAAGCACACTTGAATCTCCTTCACTGTAGGCTCTCTTTAGCTCCCTCTGCTCTTATGCTGCTGTCAATTTAATTGCGTTGTTTAACGCAAATTTACTTAAATGTGCTACCAAAACAGTTCATGACAAACTTTTTAGTTATGTAATTAATCTAATTATTTCCTAGAAGAATGATTCTAAGTGAAGAAAGAGGATTGTTGTTTCTTCAAATTTAAGTTTAATAATTTAGAAAGTCTTATGTCGAGTTGCCAAAAACAATTCTTCTGAATTAGATGTGAGTAAATTATCTATAAAACAGTGTAAAAATCTACAAGTAATAACTTGGAAGACAAATGACATGGGTGGAGGCTACATTTGTAATGCACATAGCAGATCATGGGTCAGTATTCCCCAAATGTAAGAAATGACTAAATATCAATGAGAAGAAAATAAAGAATAAATACAATTAGTAAAAATATAACTACACCCATATGAAAAGAACTTAAATTGTTAATAAACATATAAAATA